TATTCGTGTGTTCCACATGAAAATAAAAATAAATTTATTTTTTATTTATAGTTATTTTGAACTATTATTATGGTTAATCAGTTTTTAGGATCAAATATGTAACGTCCCAGATTTCAAACCAAAATTCTTTTTTGAAAATATAAGTAAAACATCCAAATCATTTTCGTAAAAGATCAAGGTAGTAAATTGTTTTAAACATCATCAAACCATAATATCAAAATGTATCAAGTCATCATAAAATAGATGAAGTCTATAAAAAATATAAGTAGCGATGCGTGTGCAATACAGTCAAGGTGGAGCCTTCCGACGATCAAAGGAACTACCTTAAAACATTTAATCAAAAACTATAATCACAAAGCTTAGTGAGTTTCCCAAAATACCACATACTACATGTAACACCTGTTCTAGATATTACTTAATTTAATTAAGATTTAGGGTTTTGGTGTGTGGACTCGACGAGTTGGGAGTCCAACTAGTCGAGTAGAGGACATTTCAAGGACGCGGAATCTACACCCTACTCGACGAGTTAGAAGGCCAACTCGACGAGTAGGCGCTGTAATGATAAAACCCTAATTTTAGGGTTTGCACCCTATATAATCTCCTTATGAGCCTTGAGGTTGACCTCCCATCAGCCTCCAAACCCTAAGAACGTCTGTGCTAACCCTAATCCCCATTCTCTTCCATTTTGTGAGCTAGAGTGACCTTTGAAGCTTAAGAAGAATGAGATATTGAGAAGCTCCAGCAAACCAAGCACCAATCCTTGAGCTTAATCATCTTGTGGACTGCTGTAAATCTTCAAGACTCGATTCATTTACCTCCAGAGCAAAATGGTCCCAAGGTGGGCTAGATCTGGCCTTTGGTTGAGCAAGGACAACATGCAAGGGTTTTAGGGCATGTTTCTCTCTTTTTGGCCATTTTGACCTAGGGACATGTATTGGACATACATGTCCATAAAGCCTCCATCTTTGGAACGTTTTGAGGAATAGTAACCTTTCTGGGAAGGAGAGATTTCAGATCCCTAGAGTTTTGGACCATATGGCAAAGCTTTGGAACTTTCCAACCTTTGTTAAGGGCCTTGGAGCATTTGGAATGGTTCTAGAAGGTAAAGTTGGAAACTTTATCCTTCTAGACACCTTAGGGTTTTAGATCTAAGCCTTGGAGTCCCTGGATTCGGTGTATCATCACAACAAGCAAAAAGGAAGGGGACTCGACGAGTTGTTTTAGGAACTCGACGAGTCGAGTTGGGTTTCCCCATCTTCTGGATATCAAGTGAACTCGGAGAGTTGATGAAACAACTCGGCGAGTTGGCTAAGGTTTGACCAGGTCTTCTTGACTCGGTAGGAACTCGAAGAGTTGCTAGATGCACTCGACGAGTTGAGGTCAACATAGACTGTTGACTTCGACTTTGACCACGGTGGACCAGGGTTGACTTTGAGGGTAATTTTGGGATTTTGAAAAGTCTGTCTTATGATGCTTTTAGGCAGTTGAATTGGAGCAGCACGTGGGACATATCCGATTCTAGTTTATCAGCACAGCATTCGTGAGAGCTGAGTCTCCCCACCATACCAATAGGTCTAAGGCACCAAGGCCGGCCCATTTTATGATGTGTAGTATCCTAGCTGAGATTGTATTATGTGACATGTTAGTTGGTATGGGCTAGGAAGTATGTTATTGATATATGTGGTATGTTGTATGGAAGACCATGGGAGAGCCCATGACACTTGGATGTAAGACCATGTGGAGAGCCCATGGCTTTCCTATCGAAGACCATGGGAGAGCCCATGGAACTTAGGTGTAAGACCATGTGGAGAGCCATGGCATCCTGGAGTAAGACCCTGGGGATGAGCCCACAGCATCCTTATCTGTTGTATGCATGGTTTATGCGATATGTGTGTAGCTATTATTGCTAGTA